CTAATCTTCACTTGCGCAACTTAAAGTGAACCACCCTTGGATAAAGATTAAACATCTTCATTCTAAAGCAAAACCACTAGTTTAATCAAAAGTGTTCCCAAATCAAACTTGGAATGTAATTAACCATAGGGGCTTGCCCCTATGGGATGTCTGTACCCCAGAAATAAATAAACCCCGCTCGACCAAACATCGAGTGGGGGAATCTCTGTTAAATAATTGTAAATTTTATGATTGAGTCCATAAGAAGATGATATTTTTACCTTCCGGGGTAATATATCGTATTCTTATGCCGTGCCCGATTATAAAATATGCAATCCGATCGAGGATACAAAAATTCTCCAACAGATAGCAGTATATATTCTCCCAAAACCGAAGGAACCATCTCCATAAGTCTAGATGTAAAGTACTCATATCACAAACAAAAAATAGAAGAGCTAGGAAAGAGCGGAAAGCGGCCATTGGGAGAAAGAGATAAAATTACAAATGCTTATACTCAATAGAAAGTTTGCAAGAACGTGCAAGAATTATGCATGAAAAGCACGAAGTGTAACCAATGAAAGTGCATAACAGACATACTTATCTTACCTTTTTAATAATATAAGTACTATTCTTATAAAAATCTGACAGGTTAGCTTGTTGAACTTCAAATTGCCAATCTGGTACATACAAGCCATATAGCAGACCCAAGTATATTCCGGATAATGAGACCAAAACAATCCTACAAACCAAATGATACTCATAAAAATCACTTCACCTCATCAATGTATTAAAAAATTTAGAATAATTTATTCCCCAAAAGAGGCTAACTTAAATCAAGCAAACATTAGCACTTTCAAACAGACCTAACATAAAGAACAATAATGGAGATTTTAAACAGTTGAATATGGAATTGGACGAACTCTCACAAAGCTAGATGTTCCAAAAGCATTACACCATCACAAATATATCAAAAAAAAATTATCATCCATCTCTAAAGAGAATCATCAATTGATAATTTGATCTGATTAGCCGTGAAATACTATGCAATATTTCCTCTATCATAATTCTAGACTAAAACGAAACCTACAAGCTTAATCTATTATTAGGTTATGGCCCAAAATGATTTCATTATAGGAAGTCCCAAAAATAGCAGCCCCTTTAGCTTGACAGTAATGGCTGAACTGGATTTTAAAAAAGAGAGAATGGATCTATCAAAATTTTAGGGGGAGGGGCAAAACTTCTGATGTAGGCAAAGGGGGGGTCAACTCAAACCCAAAACAAGTTGGATTTGACTTCCCTTGAGCTTACAAGCTCAATCATTTTGAGCTGGAATTTAGCTCATTTATGAGCAGATTTTTAGTTTATTTATTGAACTAAAGGTTAGCTCATTATTAGCTAAGTTTTAGTTCATAGTTATCTTTTATTTAATGTACTTTTTATTATAGTTTTTAATATCTTCATTTAAGTTGTCTCTTGGGTTTCCAAAAGGGCTTTTGGAATCCCAAGAAGTTGTTTGGTTTTCCCATGTGTGGCTCCTTGGCTTCCACCATGGGCTTTAGTTTTTTTTGTGCCTTTGCCCTTCGGATTTCCGGCCGGCTGCTGGTTTTCCGAGCCTGGGTGTTTTCCCGTGGCTGTGGCGCCTTGGTTCCGTGCGGCCTTCTTGTCTCCCGCGGCTACTCCTTCGGTTCCTGGGCTTGTGCGGTTTTCCGTGAATGCATGGGGGGATTTCCATGCTTGTGATGTTTAGCTTCTTGAGAAAATTAATGTTGTGTGTCCTTTTGTATTCCCCTTTCATTCATATATATATGAGGGGCTTGTAATGTTTTAAAGATAGTGAATGATATGTGATTTTTGGAAATGTAAACCTGCGGGTTTCATTGGAAAAGCTTGCGAGCTTTGTCCGTCTTCTTTCTCATCACCTCCGGAAATCTTGCAAGCTCTTTCCAACCGTTAGTCTCGGCTTCTAATCTCTTTCGTCTCTCCGCAAGTGCCACTCCATCTGTATCTTTCGTCTCTAAGTAAAGCAACTTTAGGGTGTCTTTGATTTTCGATTCGAGTTTGCTAGATCGTCGTTTGTAGTCTTTTAATTTCTTCTTTTTTTAGTTTAATTTGAAATGTTAGAGTTTGTTCTTCATCATATTAGTCATCATCTTTGTTTTGTGATTTAGTGGATTGTTGTCGGTTCAAGGTCACACAAATCTTCGTGTGGGCGAGGGGTATAGGCTCCCTATATTTCTTGCCCACACCAATTATGAGTTCTCAAAAAGGGGAGTCTGATGTAGACAAGGGGGGGTCAAATCAAACCCAAAAAATTTTGATTTTTGACTTCTCCAGCTCATTAATGTCAAGTGGAAGGTTAGCTCATTATGAGCTGGTTTTCAGTTCATTTATGGAGCTAAAAATTAGCTCATTATTTATTTGATCTTGTCTATTCTCCTTCCCCCCTTTGTCTATTTGTTTCCCATGCTGGCTCTTGTTTTCCCATGCCTTAACCCCTTGTTTCCTGTGCTGTTTTCGGGTCCCTAGCTGGGCTGTTTTCCCGAAGCAGCCAGGGGGCTTTTCCCTTGGATTTAATGCCCTGTTTCCTGTGCAATGTTGGGCTGTGGTTTGAAGATTTTTGGGCTGCTGTTTGAAGAGATTTTGGGGCTGTTTTTGGACAGAATTTGGACAGTTTTGGGACTGATTTGGTGGCTGTTTTGGGAGGAATTCCAAGAGACTTTTGTTGATTTCTGTGCAGTTTTCTACTGCAGTTTTTAGGTGTCTTTTGGCCTTCTATCTTCCTATTTTAATTAGCTTTTAATTAAGTTTTAGTGGCTGTTTGTATTCCTTCTTTTGTGCCTATAAATAGGAGTTGTTTGTGGTTGTTTTAGATATGTGATGTGATTGATTTTTGGAAATGTAAACCTGCGGGTTTCGTTGGAAAAGCTTATGAGCTTTGTCCACTCCTCATCCCCTCCGGAAATCTTGCGAGCTCTTTCCAACCTTCATCTTGGCTTCTAATCTCTTTCGTCTTTCCGCAAGTGCCACTCCACCTATATCCCTCTTCTCTAAGTGAAGCAAGTTTAGGGTGTCATTTTGTTTGAGTCATTTGTAAGAGTCAAGGGTTGTAATGTTATGTTGTGTTAAAAGTCAAGTTTGTAAGAGTCTTTATTTATAAAAGTGTTCGTTTATATGAAATGTAAGAGTTTGTTCTGTTATCTCTAAGTTATCTCTTCTTTTTGAGGTATTTTGTGTCTTCTTTTACATCAACTTCTATAATCCACATGACTACAAAAAAATTTAAGGGTAAAATTTCATAGTATACATAACCATATAGTATTTTCTCCCTCCTCTAGTTCCACCACTACTTGACAGCACTGCCCCAAGAAAAAGATAAGCTGAACCATTTTTTTAGAGGGGCTGTCAGAGGTTTCATATATAAAAGCTTATGAGATTGCCACTTTGCATTCATATAATAGCATTAACTATTAAGATAAGAACTATAACACCTTTTGTCATGTATTAAGATATATACTTACCACCTCAAAAACAAATATGCATATCCCATTTCCACTATTAAACAAAAACCAACACACCCTTGAAGAGCACCACACCCCGTGAAGATCTCTCATTAGGCTTTAATGAGCATATGATATGAAAAGAGAGAAATAGAAAGAAATGTGAAAAAACCACCTTTCATGATGAGCATATGACCTGCGTAGAGAAATGAGATACCAACAAAAAAAAAATAAAACAACAAAGCAAGCTTAGCACATTCTTCAATATTAGAATGAATGGTGTGGCAATCAGGCTGTCATGAATCATCTCTCAACAAAATATTGTGCATGCTTGAATAAGGGCGTACAGCTACATGCATGCACTATATATGGACTTCCACCAGTTCCACCACTCAAAAATCCCTGAAAATTTTGCTAGGGCAAAAAACTAATAAACTGGCTAAAAGAAAATGAACATAATTTTCTTTTCAAGTTCTTCTCTGCAAGTACAGAATAGATATAATTGAATTATAAGCTAAAGTAAATGACAGTACGATGCAGACCCAACAGCAATGATGACCAATATTTTTCCTTGCAATGCTAAATCTTGAAAACATATTTAGGCAGGTATTTTGTGGTTCTCAAAGATAATAGTCCAAGTTCAGACTTATTCTTTCAATTCAGGTACCATCAGCATCATCGTGGCCATCATTACCCTACCAAGCTATTTGGATTTGTCATAATGAAAAATCATTCATTCTTGTTGAGTGTTCCATAAGATGTTAAGCCTATTCCTCACATATCTTTTGAACAACTCTCATTCATGGTAACTGTAAAACCCGAAAATTGTCGATGTCACACGCACTTCGATGCGCCACGACGAATTTAGGCAAAATTTCAAAGTCCTCGGAATTCGATGAAATAAATTTTATTAAATTCTACATGAAATTGAGATCGAAACGGTATAAAAAACATATACCAAATTTTGCTCGATTTGAGAATTAAAAACCGCCGAAGAAGTTTAAGTAAAATTAGCCCTTTTATTCCCAAATTGCCCTCATGAGCTCCTAAGGAATTCTTTATTAGTGAGGGTACATGTGTCATTTGGCATTGTAATTGTTTTCTTAAGGCCCAAACTGATGAGGACATCGACAGACGCTACCGACATGTTTATCGCCGGCGAAACCGCAGATCGACGGCCACGATTCAGCGCCTCTACTTTTGATTGAGATGATATGATGTACTTTATTATTGTCTTGTTTGATTTACTGTTTTCCCATTTTACCCCTGTGGGGAGTTATGTTTCTTTGTAGCCCAGAGGGCAATTTAGTCTTTTTTCACTTTTATGAGTCAAGACCTATATATAGTGGTCTCTTGTATCATTTTGAGTTTAATGAATATTTGAATGAAAATCTAGTTTTTGTCTCTTTGCTTCTTCTTCTTCTTGTCTTGCATGAGAGCTTGAAGTTAGAGAGGAGATCGAGAGCCCAAGGTGAGGGCGAAAAGCAACACCCACCAGTCATTGGAAGAGTCCGTGACTCGTGGTTTATCCCGGTATTCCGCTCTTCCTCATTTTCCCCAAAACCCGCCGGCCCAAAGCCATCCCACCCGTCGGCCACCACCCCTCCCTCTTGCCGCCGGCGAGACCTCCTCCTCCCCGACCTCCTTTTCCTCAATCTCTACAACGGCTGATTTTGAAATTCAGGATTTTGAATTTCGAAAACCTTCCAAATTTGGAACATCCAAATTAGGAAAGTGTTGACTCCGCTTTCATGACAAAATTCGAATTCAAACGGATTTTGTATTAATTCTCCTCACACATCATGCTTCCAATTTGGAAACCATCCAATTACTCCCCAAACCAATTTGCCCCCAAAGGCGACTTCTTCCATCCCCGTTTCAATGACGCATGGCGGACCCGGAGTTTGAGTGGGGTCTAGTATTCAACGCCGACGGAAGCATCAACGTCCTACGGTCACCTTGCTTCGACGTAGGGTTTGAAGACGAAACTACCGTGGAGGAGTACTTGGAGAGAGTCGTGCCAATCCTTGCAAGCATCTACGACCGAAAGCTTTCAAAGCACGCTTGGAGCCTCGACGGTCGCCTACGACTTCCATCCCAACCGGCAACTTTTCCTCCGACGAAGTTTTTCGGCGCCCTCTCCCTAGTGGTAACTTCTTTCATCGCTTGGATCTTCTATCTCCGCCAAAAGTCCACTACCTCTTGAGTGATACGGCCCCAAGGTGAAATTCTCGTTGTTAAA